AACACAATCAATTTTTTATCCAATATTTTCCCTATGCATCATTTCGACAACTTCTTCTACCATTTTTTCTGAACAAATAGCAAAATCCTAATACTATAGCTTTGTTTGAGCCCCATTTACTGGGAAAGTATATTTTTAGATAATAATAGATAGAAAGAACGTTTGTAAAGAATCTTATTAAAATCAAGAAATATAGGTTTGTCTATCATTCACACCGGAATAAATAGATTTTTTGAAAAACCTTTCAATGGAAGAAGACCTCCTAGAAATAAGATACGTAGAGTTCCTCACATAGATAACTCAAATGGCCAATATTAAACAAGTCCTTCACTTTTTTGTAGGACAATGGGACACTAGTATACCAATCAATATTAAACGACATGGGAGACGTATAATCGAGGTTCATTTGGAGTACATATGAGATAGTACTAGAATAGTGATTATGTTCAAAACATATATTTTTTTTTACACCACTTTTTAATTGCATTGAATCTTTGCTTATTATTGTACTTATATTCTCATCCTTTTTTGGGTCTTATCACCGATCTTCTATTAATTAGTACATTCAGTATTTGATGATCGTTTATCTCCGAATATTTTGCTTAACTTATTTTGAAATGAGGAGATTCTGTCACACTTTTACACTTATTATTTTTTGTTATTGAAACTTATAAGTGGCCATATGTACAATACAAAAAATATTTCCTGTTTCAACATTCATGTTCTCAAAAAGTATTTACTTGAATAAGTAACTAGCATGGAACAACTGATGTGATCCAGGAAGCACAAGTACCAAAGTCAAGTCCAGAGTCAAGCCCGAGAAAAGATCCGTTGATATTCGAGGGGCCGATGATGCGATCGAGGGCCAAGCACGTGAAAGAGGCGATGGGATTGCTTGTCAAAGCAACGGTTGATGAAACAATGTTCGAGATGCAAAATGGAGCAAATTTCATGTTGGGGATGAAAATCGAAGAGTATTGGATCAACGTGTTTAAAGCTGAAGAAGACGGAGCTGGAGCATTAAACCATGCGGCCGCATAGGTCTAAAGTCCTGCGGTTGCATACACCCAGTAGAAGTTCCAAAGTCGCAGACCAATTGCACATGTGACGGCATATTCTAAAGCTATGCGGTTGCATAGGCCAAGTCCGCGGTGAATTTTTCCAAATTTCGCGTTTTTTCCTTATTTTAATAGAATTTCATTATTAGTAGATTTTTACCATAATTAGGCTATTGTGGACGAATTTTGCATTATTCTTAGATAATTTTTCTAGTTTACTTAGGTTCTCTAGAATAGTATAAATACTTTATTCTTTATTGTAAAATATTACAACACTCATATTATTGAATATTATTCATTAGACATTAATTACTTTCTCTCGTTCTTCGTTGAACAACTTGTGAACTTATCAAGATTAATCTTGTGGCGTTCAAATCAACCGGGTGTGATTCATTTAAACTGCGTAATCAACATGTCCGCATATTGTCGGCGATTCGGGTTGTTTGATTCCAATTTATTGGGTTTAATCCAAAACCTTGTCTTTGACTTTCTTGGGTTTGATTCTCAAATTGTTGTGGGCTTGGTAGTGATCGCGCTACGCGTGTTCACATCAGTTGGTATCAGAGCTTAGGTTCCAATTCAAGGTTATATCCCTTTTAAATTCTTCTTGAATCTTTGTTTCTAGTTTTTCTTCATTCTTCGCGTTCTTCTGTCCAGTAAAATTCTTGAGTCTTTGATCCAAATTCTTTTCGTCTAAAACTTCAAAAAAAAATTTGGGCTCATTTAGAATCCAAAACAACTTCTGTTTCTTTCGTTGGTATCGTAGTTAAAGTCCGGGTCCAAAAAAATCGTACTATTCATCGTACAATAGCAGAAAAAAATTCGAAAAAGTACTGTTCACGTCTACTGTTCAATTTTTTTATTTATTTGCAAATTAGTCCCTTGTTTTCTTAATTTGTCTTTCTTAGTCCAAATCAATTTCAGAACCACTTTCTTGAATTTCAAAACTTCAAAATTCGAGTCCTTCTTTGTTTTGTAATCTCACTCACATCCGGTTTGGGTTTCACGAGACTAATTCCTTGGTTGAGTTCCAATTTGTTTTTTGAAAAACGTAGTGCAAGCAACAAGCGGTAAAAGAAAGAGTGGTAAGATCAATTGAGGGTAAAAGCCAAATTGAGTGAATTCCGAGTGAACTTGGTGAGGCAGAAAAAAGTTAGATTATAGGATGTCTAACATGGAAGGAACACATTTTGGTAGGAACAATGATCAACTTAACATGATGGCTGAATCGATACTGTGGATGGAAAGGATAATGGGGGACGTGAGGGATCAGTTGGATCGACAGGATGTGCGGTTAGATAGGCCTAATCCAATGTCTGCTAATCCTCGACGGGGAGCCAATAATGCACAGTGGAATGGGAGGCGGAAAGTTAGGTTAGATGATCAGGGTGACTTTGAGGCTGATAGTGGATTTGATGAGGATCCACTTGTGGATGCGGAGGTTGGAAGAGTTAGGAATAGAGGCGTTAGGCAAGGTGTGAGAGGTAGGAATCTTGGTGGAGACGAGTTGGATGGTAGTTTGGAAAATATTAAAATGATCATTCCTTCTTTCAAAGGGAGGAGTGATCCGAAGGCGTACTTAGAGTGGGAGAAGAAGATTAAGTTGATATTCGATTGCCACAATTACTCGAGGGAGAAAAAGGTGAAAATTGCGGTTCTTGAGTTCTCCAACTATGCAATAACTTGGTGGGATCAAGTGGTAACGATGAGGCGGAGGATTGGGGCACAACCTATAAATACTTGGAAGGAGTTGAAGATGTTAATGCGGAAACGGTTTGTACCTAATCACTATTACCGGGAGCTTCATCAACGGTTACAAAATCTATATCAAGGCGCTAGGAGCGTAGAGGATTACCATAAGGAGATGAAGATGCTTATGATTAGGGCGAAGGTGGAAGAGGATAGGGAAGCCACTATGGCTCCATTTTTTAGGGGGTTGAATAGGGACATTGCCAATGTAGTGGAATTGTAACATTATGTGGAGATTGAAGACATGCTATATGTGGCCATGAAGGTGGAAAATCAATTGAAACGAAAGGGGACAACAAGGTATCAAAGTGGAACTTCGGTTTCTAATCCTTCTTGGAAGCCGAGGTAGGAAAATAATAAAGGAGATGGAGCTAATGCAAGAGCAAGACCGGAGGTACCGGGAGGAAAGGAGGAAGGAGCTAGCAAGACTACACCACAGGTAGAAACCCAGCCATCAACGAATCGGGACGTCAAGTGTTTTCGTTGCTTGAGAGTTGGACACATTGCTTCACAATGTCCAAATAAAAGAACCATGATTTTGCGAGACAACGGGGAAGTGGAGACCGAGAGTGAAGGTGATTATGAAGACATGCCGGAGTTGGAGGACATTGACGAGGAAAACACCACGGAGCATGCAGTTGGGGAGTTGTTGGTCATGAGGCGAGCACTTAGCGCTCAAATCAAGGCGGATGACCTGGAGCAGCAACGGAAAAATATATTCCACACACGATGTCACGTCAATGGGAAGGTATGCAGTGTAATAATTGATGGTGGAAGTTGTACAAACGTTGCTCGCACTAATGTAGTGGAAAAATTGGGATTAACACTATTAAAACATCCTAGACCCTATAGGTTACAATGGTTAAATGAATGTGGGAAGGTTAAGGTGACAAAAGGGTGTTGATTAATTTTTCTATTGGGAAGTATCATGATGAGGTGTTATGTGATGTTGTACCTATGCATGCGAGGTATATTTTGTTGGGGCGACCTTAGCAATATGATAGGAAAACAATGCATGATGGGTATAAAAATAAATATAGTTTTGTGAAAGAGGGAACGTCTATCACTCTTGCGTCATTAACACCGGCACAAGTGTATGAGGACCAAATCAAATTGAAAAATGAGGAAGAAAAGAGAGTGAGAGAGTTAGAGAAAAAGAGAGAAAATAGTGAGGTGACCGGTGAGGAAGAAAAAAGAGCGGGGTCACATGAGAGAAAAGAAAGAGAGTCTTCCGAGAGGAGAGAAAAGCCGAAAGTTAATTTCTTTGCAAAAGGGAGTGAATTGAAAAAGGCAATAGTGGAGAGACAACCAATGATTCTTTTGATATATAAGTAATCACTCCTTAATTTTGAGAAGTCTAACACATCCCTCCCTAGTTTGGCTACTTTTTTATTGCAGGAATTTGACGATGTGTTTTCGGAAGACGTGCCTAGTGGATTGCCACCCATTAGGAGGATCGAACATCAAATTGATTTCATACCTGGAGCTGTAATTCCAAACTGACCAGCTTATCGAAGTAATCTGGAGGAGACAAAGGAGCTTCAAAGGTAAGTGGAGGAGTTGATGAGCAAGGGTTATGTAAGGGAGAGTATGAGTCCATGTGTCGTACCCGTATTGATGGTGTCAAAGAAAGATGGAATTTGGAGGATGTGCGTGGATTGCCGAGCTATCAACAACATTACAGTAAAATATCGTCACCCAATTCCTAGGTTAGATAACATGTTAGATGAATTATACGGTGCTTACATCTTTTCTAAAATTGACCTTAAGAGCGGGTATTATCAAATTCGTATGCGGGAGGGTGATGAATGGAAAATAGCATTTAAGACGAAATATGGGCTGTATGAATGGCTAGTTATGCCTTTTGGCCTCACAAATGCACCAAGCACGTTATGCGATTAATAAACTATGTTTTGCGTGCTTTCATTGGAAAATTTGTTGTAGTTTACTTTGATGACATTCTAATCTATAGCAAGGACCTAGGAGAGCATTTGGAACATCTTAAATGTGTGCTTGTGGTTTTAAGAAACAAACGACTTTATTCTAATTTCAAAAAGTGCACATTTTGCACGAATAGAATCATATTTTTAGAATTTGTGGTGAGTGCTAATGGGGTTGAAGTCGATGAGGAAAAGGTAAAAGCTATTAAAGATTGATCAACACCTAAAAACATAATCAAGGTTAGGAGTTTTCATGGGTTAGCTAGTTTTTATAGGCGATTTGTTAGGGATTTTAGCACACTTGCCACACTACTAACTGAAATTGTCAAAAAAAGCGTTGGGTTTCAATGATGTAGAACAAGAACATGCATTTAACACCATCAAAGAATGTTTATGTAAAGCACATGTTTTAGCACTTCCTAATTTTGACAAAACTTTCGAGATTGAGTGTGATGTATCAGGAATAGGTATTGAAGCAGTTTTGATGCAGGAAAAGAGGCCGATAGCATACTTTAACGAGAAACTAAGTGGGGCAGCTCTTAACTATCCTACTTATGATAAGGAGCTTTATTCTCTAGTTCGAGTTTTGGAGACATGGCAACACTACCTATGGCCAAAGGAGTTTGTTATTCACACCGACCATAAATCATTGAAAACATTTGCTGGGTCAAGGTAAGTTGAACAAACAACATGCACGTTGGATGGAATTCATAGAGACTTTTTCATATGTCATTCGATACAAACAAGGTAAGTAAAATATAGTAGCCGATGCATTGTCGTGAAGGTATGTGCTTCTCACTTCTTTAAGTGCGAAATTATTTGGTTTTGAGTATGTTAAGGACATGTATGAAAACGATCTTGATTTTTCTAGCGTCTACAATTCATGTAATAAGGGGGCTATTGACAAGTTCTTTAAGCATAAGGGGTATTTGTTTCGAGAAAATAAATTATGTGTTCTTAATTGCTCAATGCGTGAATTGTTGGTTAGGGAGGCACATAGTGGGGGTTTAATGGGCCACTTTGGGGGTAGCAAAGACTTTAGACATTTTAAATGAACACTTTTATTGGCCTAAAATGAAGATTGACGTAGAACGAATTTGTAGTCATTGAATAACTTGTAAGAAGACTAAATCAAAGGTTTTGCCCCATGGACTTTATACACCTTTATCGGTACCTAGCGAACCTTAGGTTGACATTTCAATGAATTTTGTGTTAGGTTTGGTGGGACTAAAAATGGGCATGATTCAATTTTGTGTGGCGGATAGGTTTAGTAAAATGACACACTTTATACCATGTCACAAAACCGATGATGCCACTAACATTGCGGACTTGTTTTTCAAAGAAGTAGTGCGTTTGCATGGTGTTCCCAAAAGTATTGTGTCCGATAGGGATGTTAAGTTTCTTAGTCACTTTTGGCGGGTCTTGTGGAATAAGTTAAGCACGAAATTATTATTTTCTACAATTTGCCACCTACAAATCGATGGTCAAACTGAAGTAGTGAATAGAACAATGACACAACTATTGTGCATTGTGGTTAACAAAAATCTTAAGAATTGGGAAGAATGTTTGCCTTTCATTGAGTTTGCATATAATAGGGCCACGCATTCTACTACGTCGTTTTCACCATTTGAAATTGTTTATGGTTTTAATCCTTTAACACCTATGGATTTAATACATTTGCCTGTGAATGAATGAGGTAGCTTGGATGAGAAAAAGAAAGCTGAATTGGTGAAAACACTCCATGAAAAGGTAAGGGAACAAATAGAGAGGAAGAACAATCAACGCACAACACAAGCAAACAAAGGTCGGAAATATGTCACTTTCGAATCAGGAGATTGGGTTTGGGTGTATTTCAGAAAAGAGCGATTCCCAGAGCAAAGAAAATCAAAGTTATTGCCACGAGGAGATGGACCGTTCCAAGTGATTGAGAAGATCAACGACAACACTTATAAGATATATCTTTCAGGTGAGTATAGTGTTTATGCAACTTTCAATGTTTCTGACTTATCTCTTTTCGATGTAGGTGCAAATTCGAGGTCAAATCTTTTCGAAGAGGGAGGGGATGACGTGATCCAGGAAGCACAAGTACCAAAGTCAAGTCCAGAGTTGAGCTCGAGGAAAGATCCGTTGATAATCGAGGGGCCGATGACGCGATCGAGGGCCAAGCGCGTGAAAGAGGCGATGAGACTGCTCGTCAAAGCAACCGGTTGATGAAGCAATGTTCGAGATGCAAAATGGAGTAAGTTTCGTGTTGGGGATGAAGTTCGAAGAGTATTGGATCAACATATTTAAAGCTTAAGAAAACGGAGCTGGAGCATTAAACCATGCGGCCGCACAGGTCTAAAGTCCCGCGGTCGCATATACCCAGCAGAAGTCCCAAAGTCGCAGACCAATTGCACTATGCGACCGCGTGCTCTAAAGCTATGCGGCTGCATAGGCAAATTCCGAGGCGAATTTTTCCAAATTTCGCCTTTTTTTCCTTATTTTAATAGAATTTCGTTATTAGTAGATTTTTACCATATTAGGCTATTGTGAACGAATTTTGTATTATTCTTAGATATTTTTCCTAGTTTACTTAGGTTCTCTAGAATAATATAAATACTTTATTCCTTATTGTAAAACATTACAACTCTTATATTATTGAATATTATTCGTGAGGCATTAATTGCTTTCTCTCGTTCTTCGTTGAACAGCTTGTGAACTTATCAAGATTAATCTTGTGATGTTCAAATCAACCGGGTGAGATTCATTTAAATTGTGTAATCAAGAGGTCCGTATATTGTCGGCGATTCGAGTTGCTTGGTTCCAGTTTATTGGGTTTAATCCAAAATCTTGTCTTTGATTTTCTTGGGTTTGATTCTCAATTTGTTGTTGGTTTGGTAGTGATCGTGCTACGCGGGTTCGCATCAACAACTTTTTCAAATCAGTTCTCTCTAACATGGTTCGTCGTTTATCGATTAAGAAGACGTTTGTGCTTGACTATCTATTTAGAATTTACTTTATTCATAAAATTGATTTTTGACAATATAAATACTTGTGTCGCAATGTACATAAAAAATTGTACACATATCATACACTTCAAATATTACTTGCAAACTCAAAACTTGTGTTATAATGCCTTAGTTAGCACGAAATCCACGTAATGTACATTAAATTTTATACATATTACATACACCCAAATATTATGTGCAAATTCAAAACTCGTATGATAACACTTAGTTAGCACGTAGTGTGCCTTGATAGTAGGATGGACGCGGTTCGATTTGGACGGTTTGTGCTATATTTTCAACTCAAACCATTTTTAGCGGTTTGAAATTTTTTCAAACCAAATCAAACCATTTTATTTTTCAAACCAAATCAAACCAAAACATAATTTACGGTTTGATTCGGTTTTAATTCGCGGTTTGCCTTTCGACATTATAATAATGTATTGAACATAGTTAAATATAAGTGTAAACGAGAACTAATAATGTTAAATATTAAATTACATTCATATTTACTATGGAACACATAAATAAATTATTTTCAAAATTGATTGCTAAAAGATGTTAATAGAACGAATACATATTTCTTCATTTTTACTTACTCTTTCTTGTTTGACATTCACATTGTTATATAACGGTTGGTAAATATAGAGTTACATTCTATTATTATAGTTTAGTTAAAACTCTTTTTTATTTTTCTAATGAGATGTAAAGTAAAAGGTAGTAGTACTAGTTAGAGAACTTTAACATTTTTCATACAATCAATACGCTTCGTCATTCGTTCTTTTCAAATAAAAAACAAGTTCATTAATTATCTAAGCACACAAACAATCATTTTTCTATCTAAACTACAACTTACAAATGTATAATAAGTTAAAAAAAAATTAAAGAAAGAACAAAGAAAAATGGCTTAAATAAAAATCTAAGACTTATCGAAAGAGAAGAGAGAAAGAGGCGATTCAAGAAAATATTAGTAGACTAACAGGTAAAGGCGACTGGTGATTCGTTCAGCGGTGGTAGACAAGCGTCAAATGTTAGGAAAATAAGAGCTTATGTTAGGGTTTCTGAAACTTTGGACGTGATTTACTGATGTGGTTTTATTAAGGCCCCGTTTGATATACATTAATGAAAAAATGAGAATGAAAAATATAGTAGAGATAGAAAATCAAATATGGTGATTTGATGTGATGGATAACGGTCATATTTTTCATTTTAATGAGCAAATAATGTGAATCAAACGGGGGCTAAATTATGATTTGGATTGCTAAATTTTTTTTTTCATTTCATGTGATTTTGGAATAATTTTAGTTTAGTTTAGATATCAAGCGATGACATGTGTCGTGAACCTATTAAATCATATGTCAATAATGATGAACCTAATTTACTTTCTATGATTATTTCAATAAGTTAGTTGTAATTTGTATTGTTAAATTGGTTTTTTATTTTGAAAAGTGAAAACTGTAAGATTTTTAAGATAATAAAATTATTTTTTTAATTAAAAAATTTAAAAACGGTTCGGTTCGATTTTGTGCGGTTTTTGAAAATCAAAACCTAAACCAAACTATTTTGAAACGATTTGGTTCGGTTTGAGAAAAAAGAAACCACGGGTCCACGTGGACCCGAACCAACGGTTTCCACTCAACGATTTCGATTCGATTTGTAATTTCGAAATTTTTTTGTGGAGCCCTACTTGATAGGTACATTTCAACCAGCTTTAGCACGTATATCTGTCGACATAAAAGGGCTAACTGCAGACCACATTTAAAAGTGACTCAAAAGCTGCGTGGCCCTTTTTCAATTCACAAATCTACACTTGTAAGTATATCACTCTTTAAACTTGCACAAGATATTTTTGGCTTTGACATGACAAGAAAATTTATTCAAATCCTTTTGCAAGATATTTTATTCTGATTTTCTTGAGTGAATAAATATAATTCATACACACGTGACAAAATAATTAATCTTATCTTGTACAATTATAGAAATATTTTTCTTAAGTAATTCAAAATCCTATTGAAAGGGAAAAGTTGAAATATTAGGAAATTATAAAATCAATGTTAGCTGCACGCGCATAAGCAATCCCAGTTCAATTTTCCAAGTTTATCACCTAGAATTATTAATATTATTACATTAATTTATTGGATTATTAACAAACTGATACCAGCAATTACTGATTAAAAAAAGTTTCCGGGTCAAGGATGGATACAAGATTGGTGAATTAGACTAGTAGGGTATGAAATTTCAACTTTGGCTAAGTTCATTTTACTTGCCAGAGAAAAACTTGAATAAACTTTCTCAAAAAAGAGCTATTATTAAAAAACATTAAGCCCCCGTTTGGTTCCATTTTTTACTCATTAAAATGAAAAATATGTTCGTTATCCATCACATCAAGTCACCATATTCGACTTTCTATTTCTTGTGTGGGGTCCGTAACAATTATATTTTTCATTCTCATTTTTACATTAACGTATACTAAACGGGGCCTAAGCTTCATGTGCACTTGACCTACAACGTCGTTATTCTTTTCAATCTCTAATCGAGATAGGGATGGGGCGGGCATCCTTGGGATTGATTAATTCCATCCCATTGTCAATTTTAATCGCAACGAAACAAATGCATTTACATACAAACACAAACTTATTTTTGAGATCTTCAAAAGCTATTCCATACGCTAGAAAGGAGTGGCGTCATAGGTAACCTCACTCCGTGCATCCTTCGGTTGTGAGCCCTCGCTTAGTGAGGCGCTAAGGGAAGGGCGTAGATCATTAAAAGTTATGTATTAAATATTAAATTCTTGTTTGAACCCTATTTTACGAAAATTCATTTTTAACCACACATTTTTTAATAAAATAATTTTATACGTAAATCGAATTTTTGTTCTTCTTTTTTAAACAAACATTCTTCACAAAATACTAATTTAAAATATATTTTCCCTCAAAATAGGCTCAAACAAGCTATAATTAAAATCAATTTTATAACGTTATTTGAATCATACCGACATACCCTACGTTGAACATTCTAATAAGAGTATGAAAGCTTGGAATTTGGACAAAGCGCAAACACCAATCAATGCTCATCAAACGTTGACTCACACAAATGTTGAGGAACATTGTAAGTAGAGGTCCCTACCTTATTCATATTGTGCAAATAAATTCTCAACCTTTAACTCATAGCATTCTCATTCTCCATATTTCCTATTTGCTGCAATTTAGTCCTTTATGTACCCGTTACTGTTAAACCATGTTATGAAAATTAGATGAGACAATTCGACTGAAAATGGAGGAATGATTTTAAAATCTTGCCGAATTATGAGTAAAAAACGAATTTTTAGATTCCTTTAAAACTTAAAAGAACCCAAGTAGAAGTGATAGGCTCACCACAAAAATCGATTGATTCACCCTCATTTATTAATTAATTTTAATTCTTGATTCTTTTAAATATTTTTGGGTCTTTGTCTCGGTCCTTTCTTAAATTACTAGTTGATAGATCATCCGATTTTTACATGTTGCATGATATGATCAAAGTAAACAAGTGTTAAGCATGAGCTATTTCAAAAATAGTAATTTTTATGAAATCCGTTGATAAGGACTAAATCTTCCATAAAATATGAATTGCAAATTATGTGAATGATAAAAATTAAATCTTAAGGTTCTATTTGCACAAAACTCATAGTGAGAGACCTTCGCTGCAATTTTCACCGCACATTATCAACTGCAAATGTGTGAAACTGAGCTCTATTCTATTATTTTGGGAATCCAACTGTCCGAAAAATATCTGACTGCTGCCCGCTGTCCCACCTTGTTACTGACACGGTCAGTTACCCGCCCTTTTCCCCTGCCCTTCCCGGGCAGCTCCAAGCTTCCTAAACCCACATAAATATATGAATCAATATATGAAGCACTCTCCTATTCCGCCACCCCCACTGCCACTTTCCACGGCGGTGCATGATTCCCGGTGGAGGTGCTCCACCACCTACATATCCATACACAATCCCAATTACAATATTTATAAATCTTTAAAGGGATAATGGGTCAGGGGCTGAGTTGCAGGACCAGTGAGGAGCAGGCGCTGTTCAGTGCTGTGCAGTTGGGGGATTTTGAGACCGTTGAGGCTGTTTTGGAAAGGGAACCAACTCTTATTAATCGCTCTACAGTGTATGATCGCCACTCTGCTTTGCATATCGCTGCAGCTAATGGCCAAATCGAGGTGGGCTTCTTCGTAATTTTCTTTGTTCATGAAATTTTGATGTTTTTCTCATTTCTGGTTTTGATTTGTCGGATTTGGGGATTTCAGATTCTTTCTATGCTTTTGGACCGATCTGTCAATCCCGATTTATTGAATCGCCACAAGCAGGTGTGTTCATCTTGATCTCTTCGAAATGGCTGTAAATATTTGATTTGATCTTGTTATTGATTCTTGAGAATTAATATCTGATATATGTTTGATTGGTCAATTTAGACTCCATTGATGTTGGCTGCAATGCATGGAAAGATCTCCTGTGTGAAAAAACTCATTGAAGCTGGGGCAAATGTATGCTTTTTACCAATCACTTATCTTCTCTATCGAGGCATTTTCAAGTAGTCTGTCCTTATATATATGCATTTACATGTGTGTTGGTGTTTCATAATTGATGGGGCTAATGTTGAATATTGGGCCAGATTTTAATGTTTGATTCACTAAATGGAAGGACCTGCTTGCACTATGCTGCCTACTATGGTCATTCTGATTGCCTTCAAGCTATTCTTATGACTGCTCGCACCTCCCAGGTTTCTATTTCTTGGTAGGTTTCTTGGTAAAGATTGACTTTACTTTGCTAGGACCTAAGCCGTAATCTCAAGATAGCGATATTGAGTAAAGTGGAATCAGAGGCACATGAATTTATAATGGTTCACCCTGGACTTGAAAGTCATGTCCATCCATTTATTCAGGTTTCAACTCTCGAATCCTAAAAAATATTCTTTTCATATGTCAGAATATTAGGACAGCCTAACATGTATGGAATATCCAATATAGTGTTGAACCCAAAATACACCTAAAAATTAACACTGTAGTTTACAATTGAATATATTGTGTTTGGCATTATTTTCCTCTTGAATTAGTATCCCATTTGCTCTCTAGAATTCCGTGTACTTTGATTTGATTTACAGGGGATATGCTCGTTTTGTGAATATTAGAGATGGCAAAGGAGCAACCCCTCTGCACTTGGCTGCCCGTCAAAGACGGCCTGAATGTGTTCATATATTACTAGACAATAGCTCTCTTGTCTGTGCTTCAACCAGTGGATATGGGTAATCTTATTATCATGACTTTTGTAGACTGTCCCTTGGCTTGTGTCAAGCAAATTTTAAATTGATAATTTCTTGTTGACAGCTTTCCAGGCAGCACTGCCCTTCATTTGGCTGCAAGAGGTGGTTCTCTTGATTGCATCCGCGAATTGTTGGCTTGGGGTGCTGATCGACTTCAAAGAGATGCATCAGGGTATCTATTTCTTATTTAATTTTCCGTACTAAGTGTATCCATATTGATTCAGCTGGAGCATTTGTCACACACTAATAAAATTCTTACTTCGTCATTTAACATTTTTGAAATGCTTATGGAGTTTTAGAACAATAATATTTGGTTTTCTTGTCGAAGTAATGAATTTTGCTTTTATCATATGTCAGAACAGAAGTTAGAGTGCAAAACAAAGTCTCCATCTGTCTCGATTATATAAACTTTTGATAATTTTTTTCTTCAGAGAAATGACTTTCAGTAGTCGTAGATCTAATATTATAGCCCTCATGAACATGATTTAGGAGAATACCTTATGTAGTGGCTCTACGGCATCACCATGGAGCATGTGCAGCTTTGCTGAATCCTTCTTCCGCAGAGCCTCTTGTCTGGCCGTGGCCTTTGAAGTTCATAAGCGAGCTTAATCAGGAGGCAAAAGCTCTGTTGGAACGTGCCTTAATGGAGGCTAACAGAGAGAGGGAAAAGGCCGTCCTAAAAGGAACAGTTTATTCACTATCATCTCCCTCGCATTCTGAATCTGGGCTTGATGACAATGTATCTGAGGTGATTGTCCTCTCTTTATCATCAATATATCTTTCTAATGAATTTGAACTGTCTATTGTTTGATGGGACTATTCTTTCTCTAGATTCTTGCTTAAATGATGCTTAAAATGAACATCAATATATCTTTTGGTTTATTGCAAACCCCTTGTAAGAAAAACTAGGATAATTTGGAGACAATCTCGTGCAGGCTAGTGATACAGATCTTTGCTGCATATGTTTTGATCAAGTATGTACAATTGAGGTTCAAGAATGTGGCCACCAAATGTGCGCACAATGCACAGTGGCCTTGTGCTGCCATAACAAGCCCAGCCCAACAACGGCATGTCCTTCCATACTAGTTTGCCCATTTTGCAGAAGTAACATTATTCAGCTGATTGTTGCCAAGGTTAAACACGACAGTGAAACCGACCATGACGTCAACTCCTCAAAGCCGAGAAGGTCTAGAAGGTCCCGGAACTTCAGTGAGGGCAGTAGCAGTTTCAAGGGTTTATCGACAGTAGGCTCGTTTGGGAAAATGGGCTGTGGCTCGGGCAGAATTGCTGCTGAAAATGAATTTCTTGATAAGCCAGAGCCTTGATACATAGTCCACATTTGCATCAAGAATTTGTAGATTTGGGAAATAAGCAAATGCAAGTATATTATTTGTGTGGTTGGTTTCACTAGTATTACGTCGACTTAAGAAGATTAGAGTTTTTCAATAGGAAGAATTCTTTTTCGGTTTTTATTAAGATTTAAATATTCTTAATTGTGTGGTGGTACCTTGTAAAGTAAACATGAGATCGAAGCAAGTGATGCAACAAGTTTGATCCCACCTAATGTTTGTATTATTGTATTCAATGTTGTTCCTTGTAAGAAACAAGTGAGAAAAAATAAAAACCAATAATTTGGGAGAAGATTGGAATTGTTCAACTGATGCTTCTCATGTGATCATTGTCCCTCTTTTGGTTTAATGTTTTTGTATTGTCCTCTCATATTCTGGTTATACATATTCAGACAGTAAGATAAGGTTTACCTATCATGGGACCCGGAGACACTGATTAACCTCAATGCTGCCACGTGGTTAGATATTATCAACTCTAATGCATGATTGGTATCCATGATTTGAGCAAGGCTTTGTGAACTTGGTAAGAAACTCATTTTCCATTCGATTAAGGTGAAAGAGCGTCGTTTCCTTCTTACCCGAGTTCCTAATTTTAGCGATTGGGATTCCTCTGGGGTTTTAGCCTTATTATAAGGGTCTGTGTTCACCTTGTGCTCGTAGATTTATTTCATGTCTCTAGCAAGTTACTCGATTGGTTCTACATAGATTTATTTAATGTCTCTAGCAAGTTACTAGTTTGGTTCTACATTCAACTTAAAGTGTCGATAAGATTGATGTCTTAAGTTGTGAAGAAAACACGAGAGAAATCCTTGAGAATCTAGATGAGCATGTACTCTCTCAAAAGTTGATAGTATGAATAGGTACAATCATGATTATTATACAAAAAAGTTGATTATATTTAAGAGTTAAGTTATCGTGCTTGAAGATTACCATCTATTGGAAAAAAAGGTAGCTGCGACTATTATCATGAGATGCTTTTACTTCTTTTATATTTTTTTGGTGTTATTGAAACGTGTACCCCTTGTTAATTTCTTGTTTTATGCCTATTCCTTTGCTTTATTTTCCTAAGGTCAAAAAGGCTGTTTGACTTAGTGACTTTGAAACAAGATGGCTGCGGTGGTGCCCTTTGGTGGACTTGAAGTCTGAAGGTGACATCTGGTGTGGGATAAAATGCTTCGTCTAAATGCAATCTGATGTTCGAGACCGGATAGGATGGACTAATTTTATATTTTTCTTTTTTATTTATTTATAACCAGTACTCAAATACACATTTTAAAGTTCAAATAATATATTATGATTGAAAGGTAAACAATAAGTGCCACAAAAGCTAAAAGTTGAACATCTTGATTTGCAAAAATAGCAATTTTATACAAATCGACGGTCATCATCAGTTTAGGTGACATTACAATGCAATAACAATGATCTACACAAGCAATAGATGGCATTATTTTAACTCGATTATTAGATATGCAGCTTCTAAACACAATCGAATACGTCCTCCTCGAATCGTCCTCCCATTGGGGCCGCCTTCAGTGGAGTTATTTCAAGGGTTTTTTTTGGTGTACATAACTTTTTATATATTAAGGTATCCCATACTCATATGCGATGGGGTTCATTCGAACAAAATATTAGAGTGGGCTCCATCCCATGTGAGTGTATGGATACTTTAATGTACAAAAAATTATGTATAAGTAGGTTTATCTTTATTTCAATTTCAAATAAATTGATCCTTGTCGGGATATGGCCACAATCAGTCCGACGATGCCACGGCAAGTCTCTGTATGATAATTGAAGAGTCTGATGTGGTAGCTTTTTAGTTACAATGGGACCTAATCTGACTTTATGATGTAGGAGACTCCTAATAAAGATGAAGATGCTAGAATGGATGGTTTCACTGTTACTTAGAAGAGACGATCAAGAAACGACTTCTACATTACTTATGCTGATGGGACACCACACAAGTAACAGATCTTACATACAATAATGCCTGTCAATTTTCAGGATGTAAGAGAAAAAAGCACTCATAGAAGGGAAATACTCATTCAGAGATTTTATTTTCAAATCTTGAATATAAGCTTATTCCTTGCTTTCAAGAACTTCCATTGAAGAATCAATTGGAGTATGTTTGGGTATGCTTTTAAGTGATTATAAATTATTGATTTTATGAAATGCGTGAATAACAAATATATTCGATTAGTTTAAACTATAATTTAAGCTTTGCCAAACATGCACGTGTACTATTACTTGTTCATCTAACACACTTTATACCATGTCACAAAACCGATGATGCCACTAACATTGCGGACTTGTTTTTCAAAGAAGTAGTGCGTTTGCATGGTGTTCCCAAAAGTATTGTGTCCGATAGGGATGTTAAGTTTCTTAGTCACTTTTGGCGGGTCTTGTGGAATAAGTTAAGCACGAAATTATTATTTTCTACAATTTGCCACCTACAAATCGATGGTCAAACTGAAGTAGTGAATAGAACAATGACACAACTATTGTGCATTGTGGTTAACAAAAATCTTAAGAATTGGGAAGAATGTTTGCCTTTCATTGAGTTTGCATATAATAGGGCCACGCATTCTACTACGTCGTTTTCACCATTTGAAATTGTTTATGGTTTTAATCCTTTAACACCTATGGATTTAATACATTTGCCTGTGAATGAATGAGGTAGCTTGGATGAGAAAAAGAAAGCTGAATTGGTGAAAACACTCCATGAAAAGGTAAGGGAACAAATAGAGAGGAAGAACAATCAACGCACAACACAAGCAAACAAAGGTCGGAAATATGTCACTTTCGAATCAGGAGATTGGGTTTGGGTGTATTTCAGAAAAGAGCGATTCCCAGAGCAAAGAAAATCAAAGTTATTGTCACGAGGAGATGGACCGTTCCAAGTGATTGAGAAGATCAACGACAACACTTATAAGATATATCTTTCAGGTGAGTATAGTGTTTATGCAACTTTCAATGTTTCTGACTTATCTCTTTTCGATGTAGGTGCAAATTCGAGGTCAAATCTTTTCGAAGAGGGAGGGGATGACGTGATCCAGGAAGCACAAGTACCAAAGTCAAGTCCAGAGTTGAGCTCGAGGAAAGATCCGTTGATAATCGAGGGGCCGATGACGCGATCGAGGGCCAAGCGCGTGAAAGAGGCGATGAGACTGCTCGTCAAAGCAACCGGTTGATGAAGCAATGTTCGAGATGCAAAATGGAGTAAGTTTCGTGTTGGGGATGAAGTTCGAAGAGTATTGGATCAACATATTTAAAGCTTAAGAAAACGGAGCTGGAGCATTAAACCATGCGGCCGCACAGGTCTAAAGTCCCGCGGTCGCATATACCCAGCAGAAGTCCCAAAGTCGCAGACCAATTGCACTATGCGACCGCGTGCTCTAAAGCTATGCGGCTGCATAGGCAAATTCCGAGGCGAATTTTTCCAAATTTCGCCTTTTTTTCCTTATTTTAATAGAATTTCGTTATTAGTAGATTTTTACCATATTAGGCTATTGTGAACGAATTTTGTATTATTCTTAGATATTTTTCCTAGTTTACTTAGGTTCTCTAGAATAATATAAATACTTTATTCCTTATTGTAAAACATTACAACTCTTATATTATTGAATATTATTCGTGAGGCATTAATTGCTTTCTCTCGTTCTTCGTTGAACAGCTTGTGAACTTATCAAGATTAATCTTGTGATGTTCAAATCAACCGGGTGAGATTCATTTAAATTGTGTAATCAAGAGGTCCGTATATTGTCGGCGATTCGAGTTGCTTGGTTCCAGTTTATTGGGTTTAATCCAAAATCTTGTCTTTGATTTTCTTGGGTTTGATTCTCAATTTGTTGTTGGTTTGGTAGTGATCGTGCTACGCGGGTTCGCATCAACAACTTTTTCAAATCAGTTCTCTCTAACATGGTTCGTCGTTTATCGATTAAGAAGACGTTTGTGCTTGACTATCTATTTAGAATTTACTTTATTCATAAAATTGATTTTTGACAATATAAATACTTGTGTCGCAATGTACATAAAAAATTGTACACATATCATACACTTCAAATATTACTTGCAAACTCAAAACTTGTGTTATAATGCCTTAGTTAGCACGAAATCCACGTAATGTACATTAAATTTTATACATATTACATACACCCAAATATTATGTGCAAATTCAAAACTCGTATGATAACACTTAGTTAGCACGTAGTGTGCCTTGATAGTAGGATGGACGCGGTTCGATTTGGACGGTTTGTGCTATATTTTCAACTCAAACCATTTTTAGCGGTTTGAAATTTTTTCAAACCAAATCAAACCATTTTATTTTTCAAACCAAATCAAACCAAAACATAATTTACGGTTTGATTCGGTTTTAATTCGCGGTTTGCCTTTCGACATTATAATAATGTATTGAACTAATAGAACGAATACATATTTCTTCATTTTTACTTACTCTTTCTTGTTTGACATTCACATTGTTATATAACGGTTGGTAAATATAGAGTTACATTCTATTATTATAGTTTAGTTAAAACTCTTTTTTATTTTTCTAATGAGATGTAAAGTAAAAGGTAGTAGTACTAGTTAGAGAACTTTAACATTTTTCATACAATCAATACGCTTCGTCATTCGTTCTTTTCAAATAAAAAACAAGTTCATTAATTATCTAAGCACACAAACAATCATTTTTCTATCTAAACCACAACTTACAAATGTATAATAAGTTAAAAAAAAATTAAAGAAAGAACAAAGAAAAATGGCTTAAATAAAAATCTAAGACTTATCGAAAGAGAAGAGAGAAAGAGGCGATTCAAGAAAATATTAGTAGACTAACAGGTAAAGGCGACTGGTGATTCGTTCAGCGGTGGTAGACAAGCGTCAAATGTTAGGAAAATAAGAGCTTATGTTAGGGTTTCTGAAACTTTGGACGTGATTTACTGATGTGGTTTTATTAAGGCCCCGTTTGATATACATTAATGAAAAAATGAGAATGAAAAATATAGTAGAGATAGAAAATCAAATATGGTGATTTGATGTGATGGATAACGGTCATATTTTTCATTTTAATGAGCAAATAATGTGAATCAAACGGGGGCTAAATTATGATTTGGATTGCTAAATTTTTTTTTTCATTTCATGTGATTTTGGAATAATTTTAGTTTAGTTTAGATATCAAGCGATGACATGTGTCGTGAACCTATTAAATCATATGTCAATAATGATGAACCTAATTTACTTTCTATGATTATTTCAATAAGTTAGTTGTAATTTGTATTGTTAAATTGGTTTTTTATTTTGAAAAGTGAAAACT